AGCAACTGGGACATATGATGTGGGGGATGGAGCGCACTGGAAATACTGATGATGGGTGATGGAGCGCACCTGGGACATACTGATTGCTGGGTGGATGGAGCGACTGGACATATGATACTGGTGATGGGCGCAACTTGGGACATACTGATAGCTGGGTGATGGAGCGCACTTGGGACATCTGATAAAATGGGTGATGGGGCCTGAACATAATGATGCTGGGTTTATGGAAACGTACCTGGGAAAATACTGATAGCTGGGTGATGGAGCGCAAACCTGGGAATACTGATAGCTGGGATGATGGAGGACTGGACATACGATAGCTGGTTGATGAGCTACCTGGGAAAAACTGATAGCTGGGTGATGGAAGCGACATGGGCATCTGAATAGCTGGGTGATGGAGCGTACCTAGGACATACTGATAGCTGGGTGATGGAGCGTACCTGGGACATACTGATAGCTGGGTGATGGAGCGCACCTGGGACATACTGATAGCTGGGTGATGGAGCGCACCTGGGACCCTAATGATAGCTGGTGGGAGGCACTAGGACATTAATGATAGCTGGGTGATGGGAGGTACCTGGAATACTGATAGTGGGTGTGGAGCGAAAATGGACATATGATAGTGGTGGATGGAGCGACCTGGACATACTGATAGCTGGGGATGGAGCGTATGGGACATAATGATACTGGGTGATGGAGCGACCTGGGAAATTTATGATAGTGGGTTGATGGAGGCACCTGGAAATATGATGCTGGGGATGGAGCACCTGGGAATACTTGAAGCTGGGTGATGGAGCGACTTGGACATACTGATGTGGTGATGGAAAAGGGACTGGGAATATGATAGTGGGTGATGGAGCGTACCGGGACATGATAGCTGGGTGATGGGGCGCACTGGCATATGATAGTGGGTGATGGAGGCACTGGGACATACTGAATAGCTCGGGGATGGAGGCAAACCCGGACATATGATAGCTGGGTGATGGAGGCACTGGGACATACTGTAGCTGGGTGATGGAGGTACTGGGACATATGATTGTGGGTGATTGGGAGCGCACTGGACATCGATAGTGGGTGATGGAGCGACTGGGAAAATTACTGTAGCTGGGTGATGGAGGTACTGGGACATACTGATAGCTGGGATGGAGGAGGGAAATCTGGTGGGTTGATGGAGCGACCTGGCATATGATAGGGGGGATGGAAAAGGGCCCCACAAATTTGGTTGGCCAACCCGGACATCAAAATGGGATGGCACCTGGGAATATGATAGCTGGGTGATGGAGCGCACCTGGGAATATGATGTGGTGATGGGCGTACTGGGACTACTGATAAACTGGTGAGGAAAGGCAAATGGGACATATGATAGCTTTGGGGAAAGGAGCGCACTGGGACATATGATAGTGGAGATGGAGAGTACCTGGGACATTACTGATAGTGGGTGGATGGAGCGACTGGGACATATGATAGCTGGTGAGAAGCGCACTGGGAATACTTGATAGTGGGTTTATGGAGCATGAATTTTTTAAATTATAAAATTTTAAAAAGAATGGGGATACGATAAAAATATTGGGTATGGGGTATGGGGGAAAAAATATTGATAACCCGGGGGAAAATATTTTACCCCAAAAAAAATTTTTTGTGGGTAAAAAAATGGGAATACTTTTATGGGGGGTGGGGAAAATTTTGGTTTTAAAAAAAATAAACTTAAAGGGGGGACGGGAAGGGAAAAAAATGGGAAATTTTTTTTTGTAAAAAATAAAAATTTTTTTGGGTATGGGACTAAATGAAAAAAAGGAAAAGGGTTTGGTTGGGGCACCGGGGGTTTTGGGGGTGTAAAAAGGGTTTTGGGGGAAAAACCAAAAAAAAAAGTTTGACCCATGGCAACACGTCAAACTTTTGCATGTCAAACGTTTTGACAGGCAACACTTGGGTACTTCTTAAGTCCCCCAAAGGTTGCCCCGGGTGTGTTCTTCTCAAGTGGGGGATGTGTCCCCGGGGAAGTGCAATACGGAAACTTAAAACACGTGATGAACACTGAAGACGAGAACCATGAAGGAGACCAGTTTCCCCAATTGACGGTAAATTTACCTGAAAGTATACCTAAGGGTGTCCCGGGGGGGTCAAACCCCCCGGGGTCCGGTCCATAAAACCAGGCATCGTGTTTAACCATAATTTAACAGGAACAGCCTTTACTCTCTTCTCCCACTCCCTTTGTCTCCCCTTATTTTTTTATCTCCCCTCTTGTTTAAAGTTCCCTTCACCCTTTTTTCCTTAATTTTCCTCTCCTTTTCCACTTCTCCTCTCTGCCCGTCCTCCTTAAACGGGAAAAAAGCGTGTTGAAGAAGGTAGGAAATTTAATTTTTAATGCCCCCCCTTTTTTGGGAAGACTATTTAATTTAATTAATGTGTCCTCGACTACCTACGTATTCACGGCGAAGATAAGTGTGTGTTGTGTGTGTGTGTGTGTGTTGTGTGTGTGTGTGTGCTCACCTATTTGGGTTGCAGGGGTCATTCTAGCTCCTGGCCCCCCTCTTCACTGATCGCTACTAGGTCCCCTTTTCCCCCTGTCTTAAACTATTTTGGTTTCCTGCCTCCATAAACCCTTCCCAATTTTTTCCATTCCAAACTCAGATAAAAAAATATTTCCCTAACACCCCTCTGACTTTTTGATTTTAATTTCCAACTGTGCCCCCTTTTTTTCTGTTTTCTCTCGGAAACCCCTGTCTCCCCACCGGGCTTTCCTCGCAGTTTTTGTACTTGTTATATGTCTCCCCTAACCCTCCCGTCCTCCATGTGTCCCGACCCATTTCCCTTAATTAACCCTTTTTTCCGGGCTTTTTCCTAGTTGTGGGTGGTTTGTGTCACCTATTTGTGGTCCATACTCCAGGAACCCCAGGTCTGAGCTGTAAACCAAGCCCTCACTTTGTAGGATCCAGGTCCGAACTAGGCCTACAGGTCCCCAAATAGGTCCAAGGTCCGGACCCCAGGTCCTGAACCCCCAAGGGACTGAACCTACAATCCTGCCCACAGGTCCCGAAAAGGTACCTCAGGTCCCGAAATAGGTACCTAGGGTCCCGGAACAAAAAGGTCCCGAACCTCGGACGAAATACGTCCGCCCACAGGTTCGAAACCACAATCCCGGCCTAAGGCCTGAAACTAGGTTCTAAAGGTCCTGAGGGAAATTTTTTGGACAAAATAAATAGTCTTTTCTTTTTCCTGCAAAAGTTTGCCCAAAAAATTTTTAGAAGTTTAACGAGTTAATGGAATTTGCACCCAGCATCAGATGTCCCAGGTGCGTCCATCACCCAGCATCAGTAGTCCCAGGTGCGCTCCCTCACCCATACAGTAGTCCCAGTGCGCACCATCACCCGCTATCAGTATTCCCAGGTCGCTCCTCACCCCGTTTAGTAGTCCCCGTGCCTCCACCCCAGCTTTCGTATGCCCAGGTTAGTCCATCAACCCGCTATCGTATGTCCCAGGTGCGCTCCCTCACCCGCTACAGTTTCCCAGGGGCGCTCCATCACCCAGCTATCAGTAGTCCCAGGGGCGCTCCATCACCCCAGCTATCTATGTCCCCCGGTACGTCCATCCCCAGCTTCATATGTCCCAGGGCCTCCATCACCCCCTATCTATGTCCCCCGGGAGCTCCATCACCCCGCTATCAGAGTCCAGGTACGCTCCCATCACCCCCTTTCAGTATGTCCCAGGTACCTCCATACCCCGCTATCAGTATGTCCAGGTCGCCCCATCACCCAGCTATCAGTTGTCCCCCGGGGACGCTCCCTCACCCAGTATCAGTTTGTCCCATACCTCCATCACCCCTATCAGTAGTCCCAGGGACGCTCCATCCCCGTATCAGTTGTCCCCCGGGCGCTCCATCACCCAGCTATCAGTATTCCAGGTACGCTCCATCACGCAGCAAACGTATGTCCCCAGGTACGTCCATCACCCCCATCAGTATTCCCAGGTGCCTCCCCCTCACCCCTATCAGTTTTTCCAGGCGCTCCCTCACCCACTTCATATGTCCCCGGGGGCGCTCCATCACCCGCTATCAGTATTCCAGGTCGCTCCACACCCCCGCTATCTATGTCCCGGTACGCTCATCACCCAGCTTTTATATGTCCCAGGTGGCTCCATCCCCAGCTATATATGTCCCGGTACGCTCCATCACCCAGCATCGATGTTTCAGGGCCCCATCCCCAGTACAGTAATTCCCAGGAAGCTCCCCTCACCCCTACATATGTTAAGGTACGCTCCATCACCCCGCTATCAGTATGTCCCCGGTGCGCCCCTCACCCAGATCGTATTCCCAGGGCGCTCCCCCACCCGCTATCAGTATTTACAGGGCCTCCATCCCCACTATCAGTATTGGTC